ACGTTCACATCCATCCGTTTATCAGAGCACTTACTCCCTACTTGCCCGGACCCCTGTTTAATTGTGTGATGGGTGTGGTGTGTAATGCACAAAGAGCTGCCCCTCTGCCTGTGAAATAAATACGTTTTGTGTAATTCGGGCTTTGTTTTGTTTTTTTCCAAACCAACTACCTGTCATGGGTGTAGATTTAGGAAAACAAAAACACACTTCCCTTAAGGCTGCTTTCAAGCTGATCAGTTTTTGATGTGCTTTTTGTTCAGCTTAAAGAGCCTTTCACATGGATCAGTTTTTCAGTTAAAAGAAAGCGGACGAAAAATGCATCCCTTTTTAAATCCTATGGAAGTTTTCACACCGTGCAGTTGCATTTTTAAAAGGCTTCCTTTGTTGCATTTTTGGCACGTGTTTTAAATGGCCCTTTCACACTGGTCAGTTTTGATGTGCTTTTGTTCAGGTGTTTTCCATTTAACCACTTGCCAATTGTGGACTGTCATATGAGCGTGACATGTTTGGTATCTATTCATTTGACATAACATCATTTTACATTTTACCCAAAAATAGACATTGTATTGTGTTTTGTGTGCAATGAAATTCATTTCAAGTGTATTTTTCCCAAAAAATTGCATTTGAAAAACCGCTGCACAAAAAATTGCAAAACCCACCATTTTTTTTTCCATAGGGCCTCTGCTAAAAAAAAAAAAAAAAATTTTGGCTTGGGCAGCATTTTTTTTTTTTTTAGCAGAGGCGCTATGGAAAAAAAATGGTGGGTTTTGCAATTTTTTGTGCAGCGGTTTTTCAAATGCAATTCCGCAGTTTTTTTGAATGAACAACTGAACAAAACTAGTCAATGTAAAAGCAGCCTAAAGGTTCTCCCCGGTATAAAGCCGACCTGCTGAGTCATTCAGGTTTTTTTTTCATGCATTCGTAGTTGTACTGAACCATTCTACCCCACTCCCTTCTGTCTGCAATCTGGTGAGCCTGGAACGCACCTGCTGGAGCACCCTACTTGAAAGAGGGTGCTTAATGGTAAAAATACAATGCTGGTTATATAAGATGTGTTTGAAGGTCTTTTTTTTTTTTTTTGAATAGGATTTAGACCTACCCTGGAAGTCTGAATGTGATTAAGGCAAAAAGCAGTGAGTCAAGTTACATAGCCCAAACTTGATAAAGTGCATTTCTACTGATTTCTTATATAGAGGTGTGTACTTGGTGTCTTCAGGGGATTGAAAGAATTTACGGTTGAGTGAATCTTTTGAATTGAAGACCCAATGTGCATCTAGGGGTGCAGCGTTCTGGCCACAGCTAATCAGTCAGTTTGTATGCGGCCATAGCACAGAGTATTGCTGCACCCAGAGGTGGCATTTTAGGCTCCATTCACACCAATGCGTTTTTTTTTTTTGTTTTTTTTGGGGGGGGGTTTTAGTGCTTTTTGCAGAAACGCACTACAGGCTATTTAACATGGTTTTCTATGGAACATGTTCACATCTATGCTTTTTTGAGCTGCTACATTTTTGGAAAGGATCAAGGACTTTTTGTTTTTTGTTTTTTTTTCAGCATTTTTGCTACAATAGATTTCAATGGAGAATCTGCTGAAATGCATGGTAGTGCATTTTTGCAAAATTTTGCATTTTTATTCTGCCCAACAACAAAAAAAATTCAATTGAAAAAAAAAAACCCTAGAACAAAACGTGGTAGAAGTGCAAAACTGACAAAAAGCAAACTGCATGGGTGTGAACGGAGCCTTAGCCATTGCCTCCATGTGAATATAGTCTTGCTAGATCACTGAATACCTCTGTGTTGCTGGAAATTGCTCTTTCAGGCACCGGTGTCTGCAAACTGGGTCCTCAATGCAGGTGTTTGCCTCGGGTGTCCATTTGTGCTTGGAGTGCCATGGAGTAAGGTGGGGGAGGCATGATTGAGACCAAGTTGGTGTGTACATTAATAACATTCATCTGTAACAAAGATGCCTACAACAAGCAATGGAATAAGAACGAATGGGGCCCTAGGCAAGATAGCAGCTTTACCCCAACCCCCCCCCCCCCCCTGCCTTCAATTGATTTGCAATTGGGGCAGCTTCTCTGTGCAATCCTCATTGTCTGTATTGACTTGGCCCTATCAGACACCAAACTGCCTACAGGTGACTGGCAGGTGCATACATTTGATAATTGTGCTCTCCTGCTGAGTTACTGCAGGAGCAGAAGGGCTGTTGTTGGGCCCTCAGGACATCTGCCAGTTCCTAGGCTCCTGTCTAGGTTGTTCCATGGATAACCCAGCACTAAGGACAGGTAACACTTACAAATAAGATCGGGTAATGAGCCTATACTCTGGTAGCGCTGGGGCACTGTGACCATATACGCTTTTCTGATGGCATAAAAGAATAGTTGCAGAGATAGGTGTCTCATCACTTTGGAGGACAGTTTGTCTGCCTTGCCAGTCACACAATCATCAGTTCAGAGATATAGTGTGTGTATATGTGTATATATACTTTTTGGCTCTGTATGCCACCAGAATAAATTTTAAAATGAAACCATCCAAATTAATCAAGTGCAGACTTTCAGTTTTAATTCAAGGGGTTGAACATAAATATCAAGTTCAAATTTTAGGAACTGCAACCATTTTTACACAGTCCCTCCATTTTCAGGGGCTCAAATGTAATTGGACAATTGAATATAATCATAAATGTTCATTTTTTTAATATTTTGTTGAGAATCATTTACTGGCAATAATTACCTGAAGTCTGGAACCCATGGACATTACCAAAGACTGGGTTTCCTCCTTTCTGATTCTTTGCCTGAAGTCTGGTAATGTCCATGGGTTCCAGACTTCAGGCAAAGGCTGGGTTTCTTCCTTTCTGATTCTTTGGTAATGTCCATGGGTTCCAGACTTCAGGCAAAGAATCAGAAAGGAGGAAACCCAGTCTTTGCCTGAAGTCTGGAACCCATGGACATTACCAAAGACTGGGTTTCCTCCTTTTTTCTTTGATAATTCTGGGTTGGCAAAGAATCAGTCCCCATGGGTAATGTCCATGGGTTCCAGACTTCAGGCAAAGAATCAGAAAGGAAGAAACCCAGTCTTTGCCTGAAGTCTGGAACCCATGGACATTACCAAAGACTGGGTTTCCTCCTTTTCTGATTCTTTGCCTGAAGTCTGGAACCCATGGACATTACCAAAGACTGGGTTTCTTCCTTTCTGATTCTTTGGTAATGTCCATGGGTTCCAGACTTCAGGCAAAGAATCAGAAAGGAAGAAACCCAGTCTTTGCCTGAAGTCTGGAACCCATGGACATTACCAAAGACTGGGTTTCCTCCTTTATGATTCTTTGTCTGAAGTCTGAAACCCATGGACATTACCAAAGAATCATAAAGGAGGAAACCCAGTCTTTGGTAATGTCCATGGGTGCCAGACTTCATGCAAAGACTGGGTTTCCGCCTTTCTGATTCTTTGGTAATGTCCATGGGTTCCTGACACCTGTCATTATTTTTTTTTTTTTGTGCCTTAGTTACAATTTAAAGCTGGCCATACACTAGTAGATGTTTGAATGAATGGTTCATTTGAAAAATCTCAGTACATTTGATGACTTGATGATGATCGTCTTTTACCAATTGATTTTGAAATCGCAGCCCCTCCTCGCCACCTTGTCCAATCTGAGAAGGATTTGCATGCATTCAGAAAATGCAAAATTGTTCTCTGAATGGCATCTATGCTGAGCAGCTGACCTCTTGTGTTCAGATCACAGCAGGATATCCACTTGGCACGAGACCCAGTAGCTGGTGGAGTTCACTGGAGTAACAGTGTCCCCTTCAGTGATTTCCAGCCTTCAGGGGCATCAGCCACGTATGGTATATGTATAGTTACACAGGTCCAAGCTGGACCAGTGTAACCAGGTATAAAATATCCACACCTAGAACTATTCTTTAAAGTTGAACTTGAGGATTTTTAAATGACAGTTTCTGTGATCAATCACCACAAAAGGTATAAATCCACTTTTTGTGCACCAACTGCCTTTGCTGATAGCATTACTACTTTTACAAGGTAAAAACTGGGTTTGCAGCCTGCTGCAAAGAGCAGAGCCATGGGAGGGGCCCATCAGGCTCCACCCACTACAGGGTGCCTGTTGAAAACTACAGGAGGGGGTGGAGACAAGACTAGTCACCCTGCACAAGGAGAGAGAGCAGCAGTGAGCAGTCTTTAGTACAGGAGGGTAAAGTTTCACACTGGATTACTGCACAGATCTGGAAGAAATGCACTCCAAGATACACATGCCTCTTGCCATAGCCTTAATGGCGACAACAATAGATCACGCCAGTGCTAGGAGCATTGGCATGGCCAAGAAAAGTCTCCACTGGAGGTATGGGCGCAATTGGGTGTCGGGGACAATGTGTTGTCACATCACATAAGAGGAAATGCCTGGACAAGGCCCACTATGGCAGGACTGCTAGGTATTCTAAATATATGGATTTAAACAGATCAAACATGTCTTTTGATATTAACATGCTATAAATGCGGTACCTTTTTAGTAATCAAGATTACATCTACTTTAATTCAAGAAAGTAATACATTTGCAGGAAAAAGCTGTGAAAGTTTGCAGCTGCTTTTTTATTAATTGTATTTTAATTTAGATTTTAATAATTTTGATTAGTGATTGGGTTTACATTACATTCCCTTTTATGTTAATAAATGTATTTGTGTTAACTATAATTATTTTATTAGTTTTAATTTGGTATCTTTTAATCGGCTTTACATCCCCTTTTTATTTTATTCATAATTTTAATTTAATTTTGATCATTTTATTATAATATTTTGTGATTGGCTTTATATCCCTTTTTTTTTTTTTTTTTTTTTTATTAGTAGCTTTAATTTTAATAATCATTTTATTAGAATTTTATACATTTAATTTGGCATCTTTAGTGATCAGTTTATATCTACTTTAATTCTGAAAAGTAATACATTGCTAGGAGAAAAAGCTGTAAAACCATGCATCTTTTTATTTTTATAGGTGCGTA